ATAAATTATTGCGAAAGGGTGAGAAATGGAGATGGGGACGCAGTGAACAAGAAGCGTTTGACCGTGTGAAAGATTTGTTTCTCGAAGCAGTGTTGTTACATTACCCCGACCAAAGCAAGACATTCTACGTCCAAACCGACAGTTCCGGCTATGGATTGGGAGCGGAATTGTACCAAATCCAAGAAGACGGATCACGTGGTGTGATTGCGTTCGCAAGTCGTTCTTTAAAAGGACCTGAATTAAATTACACCACCACTGAAAAGGAATTATTGGGCGTTATTTTTGCATTACACAAGTTCCGAATTTACATCCAAGCCACAAAAATCATCATTCGAACCGATCATCAAGCACTGAAATTTCTGAGCCGCTGTCGATTGCTCAGTGAACGCCTAACTCGATGGACGTTAGTGTTAGGGCAATATGACTACGAAATCGAGTTAGTAAAAGGAAAAGATAACGTAGCCGCCGATATTCTTTCACGTTATCCATCTGACGGTAAAGCCACTTATGAATATCCACGTGAACAACCAATCGTCGCAATGTTTGAAGTCCACAACACACCTGAAATTTTGCAATTGATGTCCGACCTTAAACAACACCAAACAGAAGACCCACAATTGAGACAAATAATCGAAAACAAACGATCCGGCGTAGCTGCTCCAGACTCGAGAACTCAAAGGGTTTGGGCACAATATAGTTTAAAAAATAATGTGTTAGTTCACAGGTCACAAAATTCTAACGATGACTGTCTTGCCGTGCCTGAAAGTTTGGTTATCAAACTCATTGATTACCACCACCAACTCCTGGGGCATTTTGGTGCAACCAAAGTGTACAACTCAATGAAAGGAGATTATTATTGGCCAAACATGTACCGGTCAATCAAGAAGCGTCTTCGAAGCTGTGACCTTTGCCAGAAAACGAAATGCTCAAATCGTCCACATCAGGGGCCACTAACACCAATCCTGTATGACCATGTTGGGGACTTAGTTAGTGTCGACTTCTATGGGCCGTTACCGACCGGTCGATTAGGGGCATCCTATGTGTTTGTTGTCATCGACGCCTTCAGCAAGTTTCTCAAGCTTTATCCAGTGAGAAAAGCTACCGCAAAAATCGCTGCCAAACGACTTATCGAAAATTACGCTGAATACATCAAACCAAAATGCGTATTAAGCGACCATGGCACACAATTCATTTCCAACACCTGGCAGAACAGTTTGAAAGCGGCAGACATACAGCCAACACTTTCGTCGATTCGACATCCAGAATCAAATCCTAGCGAGCGCGTAATGCGGGAGCTAGGTAGAATTTTCCGAGCTTATTGTCGAGGAAATCACGCCAGTTGGGTCAACCACCTTAATAATATAGAAGACTGCTTGAACTACGTTCCACATATCAGTACAGGATTTTCTCCATATGAAATTCTGTACGGCAGAAAACCGCCAAACCCATTAGATGCCGTTACATCAATTTTACTTCCTCAACGAGTGCCACTACCCAGAGAAGAAATTCATGAAAAAGCCCGTAAAAATTTACGTCATCACGCTAACCTTCGCCAACAAAATCAAAAAGGCGAAACTACGGTACTGGAAATTGATGATTGGGTACTACTGAAGAACAAAGTCACGTTCGACACGAGAACGCAACAATTTGCCAAATTTATGCCATTGTACAGTGGACCGTACAAAATAATTGCTAAACCACACCCAAACACGTACCAAATCGCCGATCCAGTGTCCAGTGAAGTAAAAGGGGTGTACAACATGACCAACTTGAAATTTTACCACCGACGAGATGATTAAAATCTACAAGAAGTTCACAAGTGCTGCATTCACCATACTGGCGCATCCACCATCTCTTGCGCACCCACCATGTTAGTGCGTCCACCAAGTAGGCGCATCCACCATCTCTCCCAGCAACACGGTTCTGCTAACCTACCACGCGTTGTCTTACGCCGCATCTACGAAGCAACGCAAGACAGGGGGCGAATGTGATGAACGCGGTATTTATAAATTTTATTTTATTAACCATTCATCCCAAATTACAAAAATTTTAAAATTTGTTTTAACGGCGTCCAAATTGTTTCGGTCTAACTAAGAAATTTATCTTATCTTAAATACACACGTGTTTTGTGAATATTGAAATGTTTAGAAAAGTGTCGTTCTCACGAAATGTTTCCAAGAATTCCTTAAGTGTAACAAATCAAAAATTGGTCGATTGGAATAGTTATCTGAAATTTAGATGTTAAAACCCAAGCGTCGCCGGTCAAGTGCTTATGCGTTGAAAATTACGCCCAAAACCAAGTCTATTCGAAGAATATCAAATTTCACATTTGCACGTGTGGGTCAAAAGAATTTTAGCGAAATTATCACATTCTTGTTTAAACAAAGTCAGTTCACAAAGCCATTATTTTAGAAAGACGCGCAGAATTTTTCTGAACATTTTGATATAAAATTTAACCCTAATTTAAGTTGCGGCAATCGTAATTTTGATGTATAAATTATTTATTTAATTAAATCATTGTAAGCAAATCTGGCACGGTACGATTGCTAGCCCTTTACTAACGTAGAGATTAGAAGGAAAGTAGGTGGAGATTTCCTAAGGAAATCCGTGGAAAATGCGAAAATGTTAAAATAGTACCGCTGTAGTACTGGGGGCGACATCTAACAGGGGGTAGTACGACGAAAATTACAGTTTTCTTACGGCTTTCTTCCTTTTACTTTCCGTAAAAATTTAAACAAACAAAATTTGTTGTTGCATTGCTAAACCACATAAAGTTCCATGAGCGTCAGAAAAACAATAACAACCAATTTTAGAGTTTAATATCTCTTTCAGGCAAATTGGTGTTGATTCGATATTGTTACTGTATTGTATAATATTATCAGAAGGGCTTAACAAATTGTATGTTTAATAATTGCGAAATCSCGAATCAAGGAAACACCATAGCAATTAGATAATAATAATTTGGTGAGAGTTAAACGAGGTYTGATCAAATGCCTAGACATTTTAAGAGTCAAATTTGCATAATGTCACATATGTGGAAACAAAGAACAGGGGTAGGGGGTAAGCGAGTTAGCGTCCCCTATTTAAAGTTAACACTTGTTTTTCGAAGGGAATTCGATTTTTGACTGTCTTCCGAGTTAGTCGATTTTCGTGCCGCTGCTTTCGCAAATTATTTAAATTTTATAAATTYAAACAATTCCGATTTAAATTAACTTTCGTTGATTTAAGAGCTTCCAGTTGAGCTAGTGAATTAAATGAATTAATTTAGTGCTAGAAATAGTGAAATAAATAGTGTAAATAGTTTGGTTATAATTGTTCGCTTTAGTGATAGTTATTATTAAGTGTTGTTAAACCAAACGACAAAGTGCCAGTTTAACTTCGGATATCGGCGAGCCATCAGGAGGATTAAACTTTCTAGGTAGGCCCACGAAAGGGTTATATATTATTTTAACTAATTCTTTATGCAAAAATTTCATTAAGTTTCTTCAAGTAATTTTATAAATTAAATTAACGTTATCTATCATTTACCGTGACCACAAATTTATTAAAGAATTTTAAATTCAAAACTTTAAAATATAAATTTAAATATTTGTTTATTTTCTTCTTTTGTTCTTGAAAATAAAGCGTTAATACTTGCTAAAATTAAAGCCAAATAATTTCATTTCTTGTAAGGAATTGCAACAATACTTATTTTGCCGTATTACTTAATTTTTAATTTATTTATTTATTCATTTTGTTGATTTGAGTGTAATCCTCAACCCTAAACTATTAAAACTTAACACATCAATCATTAACCTAAATCAAAGGGTCTCCAGCGATTTCTTTGCCTCAAATCAATTTAAAATTTCTTCATACAAGATTTTGAAGGTAGAATAACTTGTTGCATATTAAATATAGGGTAGAGTAGGACAAATTTCTCTCTCGCGTCGTGCTAGGCGATGAGAGCAAAAGTATTTGTCTTTTGCGCAATGGCACCTGAAATTATAGACTCGTTTGTCGGCCATCTTCATGGGAAGAGTCGTGGTCCCCGGGGACCCTCTTCCCCAACTTWACAAGGTCTAAGCCACTGTGTCAGGTCGTAGTTTCCGGCAGTCGGACTTAGAATGGGCGTTGTAATTCCCGCTCCAACGGCATATACCATGTATATGCAGGCTACTACGAGATAAACGAGACAAAATAACCATCCAGGTTATCTATAATCAACTGGTATCGCGAAATGACAAAGTTCTGAACAAGTCTTTGTCAAAGCTCGTGGACGAAACACTTGTGAGAGAAATGACTTCTACATTCATTCAGTCATGTTGCAAGGACTTGTATATCCTGGTTTTGTTCGGAAATTATTATAGGTGTTTAGGCACCTGACTTTTACCTGAGGCGGTATTTCGGCACTAGGGCGTAATAGTAAAAAAAAAAGGGCGATGCACTTATAAAGGCCGCGAGCATGTTATATTCCGACTCTGGTACAAGTGTAACTTAATAAACGCGGTTAAACTCTTTCCTCGATAATATAAGTTCGAACAATATTAACTGAAGTATAGGGTAGCTTTGTAGTACGTAAATAGAGTTCCAATCATCCATCAGCTGTTTGAATTCATTATTTTAAATCCCGAAGCAATTGTGGTTACGTGACTTACAAACTAAATTAAATAAGAATGAACAATAATTTTTAACACCTGGCAAAATTGGATCAAACTCTCACAACTCTTTCTTTCTGTAAGAAATGCTTTGACAGTTGTAAATAAATTACTTTTGTGGAAACTTGACTTTTAATCCCTTCTCCCACGCGTTTTGACACTACTTTGAATCCGAATTTGTGTTACGACACAGAGATAAACACAACGTAGGTAAGTGAAAATAATTATAAGGTTTACTAGACGAGCCAGATAAGCTGAAATCAAAATAAAGGGGTAAAAGACGAATTAAAAATTTAATCTTCATCAAATAGCAACAATATCACTATCACGGTCTCACTACAGTACAGACAAAGGAATTTACAAAAGTTGGGTAACGAATTAACAAAAATCAATGAGTCAGGAAATGTTCTAGAAAATGGTAAAACGTAATAATTAGTTACTGACAAATAATAAATCCTAACGCTAAATAATGAATAGTAATAATAATAAATTTGTAACAATAATAATAAATATGTAACACTAATAATAAATATGTAACAAACAGTTCAATAATAAAGATGCATACAAAACTCCGTACTCATTTATAATCACCAAGTCTCACAACACCATTATGACAAAAAAGTGCACCTAATTTCTTCTTGAGTTTTTTTTTATTTTTTAAACAAAAAAATCACATAAATAAATACATTTTAATAAAAAATAAACTAAAACAAACTTAAAAATAAACACAGATCTGTATGTTTTATATTTAAACTATAAACATCATTCTACTTAAAATCTAGATGGCAATGACTCTAAATTTTTTAAAGAACTTCTTTACTACTTCTTCTTTGCACTTCTTCACCACGTAATATCCTTTCAATATCTTCTAAGCTGTGTCCTCTGGTTTCTGGCACAAACAAGATAGTGAATATAAGTCCTAGCACACAAACGGCACAAAATAGCCAAAAGGCTCCGTGTTCACCAATAACGTCCTTGAACAAAGGAAAAGTCGTTGTTACAACAAAGGTGCATGTCCAATTAAATCCTGTGGCTAGCGAAGCTGCAGGTCCTCGAACTTTTGCGGGCAAAATTTCACCCATCATTAACCATGGAACTGGGCCAAAACCAAAAGAGAACCCGAGTACATAAACGATAAAATTTGCAAGTGGAATCCAACTGTATGACGAAAGATCAATTTTTTGTATACTCATTAAATAAAAGTAAGTTCCCAATACTGCTAAACTCATAATCATTGCAATACTGGAAATGTATAATAGAACTTTTCTTCCAAGTTTGTCAATAAAAATAGCTGCGATAAATGTTGATACAAAGTTGACAACTCCGACAATTATGGTTTGAATGGTTGAATCGAGATGAGATCCAGTATCTTCAAAAATCTGCGTTGAATAGAATATAACAACGTTGATTCCGCTCATTTGTTGATAAAACATTAACCCAAGAACAATCAATAGAGGAGTCAAATAGGGTCTTTTAAATAAATTTGTAAATTTGTCTTGCTCTTCACTCGACATTTTTTCTGATCTAAGCAATTCTTCAGATTCCTTCTGTACAGCATCTTGATTATTGTTTCCTCGTAGCCATTCCAGAGCTTTGCGTGACTTAACGGATTTTTTTTTCAAAATGTACCAATGAGGTGTTTCTGGTATAAACCAATATCCGAACAAAAATGACACTGTTAGCAATGCTCCAATTCCAGCAATTCCTTTCCATTTAAAGACAATACCCATTGAAAAGCATATCAAAATTCCTATATTGCCAAAAGTCGTTGGTAAAAGACCCAACATTCCACGATATTTAGGTTGAAGTATTTCTCCTAAGTAAATAGGAAGCGTCAGAGACGCTATACCGACGCCACATCCAGAAATGCTTCTGCTGATGTATAAGTGCCAGTACTCTTGAGCAAGAAAGTTTATGATCCAACTGATTAAAAAAAGGACATCACTAATTAAAAGAGTCATTTTTCTCCCACAACGATCGATTAAGAAACCTCCCAAAAAACTTCCAAAAAGGGCAGCCAAAGGCATAAGTCCAGAAATCCATGAAAACTGAAACAACAAAGAAATTACTAAATATCTATTTAGTTTATTTTTCGGTAAATTCACATATTAGTAGCTTAACTAAAACCTTACCTGTACTTCTGTGATATTTAAATCTTCTTTCAAAGAGATACCTGCTGGTGAAGTATAACCTCCTATGTATCCAGTTGCCCTGGACAACCATGAAACGACAACCGTCACCCAAATCTGAAATAAAAGTACTGCTTGAAACTGTGAAAACACTTTTAATGATATATTTATGTGAGTAAAATGTTAGAAAAAATTAAAAAGTACGTACTTGTCGAAGCAACGGATTTTTTAAAATTCCAAAATCCCAAAGGACTTTACATTTTACAACTTCAGATCCGTTGTCTGAACTTTCGTATTCTTGATTTATGTTTTCAGTAGGTTCCATTTTATACTGAGACTCCACACTTGAGGTTTTATAAACAGAATTAACTAACTGGTATTTTGGTGAAAAGTGTAGATCATCACAATTCTGAAAAGACTATAAAATTTAATTAATAAAATAAATAATCATGTGAGAATACTTACCTCTTGTTGTGTTGCGCATGGACACAAGTTTAGCAGTGCATTAGGTTGAGAATTAGTTGCAACCCTAAAAAAGAACAATTCAAATTAGATTCTAATTTTTTATCTAGGTAATGGAAATTCTATGTTTATCAGTTTTTTGACAAAATAATTGTTTCTTATTGTTTAATAAATTGATTTGATTGTCACACGTAATACAAGTAGCCAAAATATCAATAATAATCAACTTACATACTATAGGCGATGTTTACAAATTTTAGACACACTAATTATATAATCAAAAATACAATATAACATCTACTGAAAACACAGATAGGCACTGTTGAAATACATACTGTCTAAATGTATCTATAAATTATTATCTAATTTCTCGTACCTTATATATCTTCAACAGTACTTACCTGATATTATTATCTTAGTACCTACAATTTTAGATAACTTTAGTTTTATTTTCTAAATGTAGGTGTGTTTCAGATTTTGGACTAGAGTCTAAAAGCCTAGAGGCTTATAAGTCCAAAATCTGTCTCTTACTTTTTTTTTATTCTTATGTTCAAAAGTGGACTTTCTACATTTTTACAGTTTATCATAAAAATAAGAAATCAAACGTTTTCTGCTTTGTAAAAATTATTTATGCTTAATAACAGGTTAATAACAAAATGGAAACGTATTTCAAGAACAACATTTTTATAGTAAAATCGTTTTCCTAAAACCTACTAAAAATTTTATGACATATTATAAGGGATTAACCAAACAATGGCTTGAATTTGTAACCCTCCATAAATGGCACGTTCCTTTGCAAGTGTTGCTGCACCCACTATAATAAAACGGGGTCCTATTTAAAACCAAAGTAGTGGTAGAGTTTTACCAACCTATTATTTAAAAAAAATCAGCTTGATTTAATAATAGCTTGTTAATAGCCACTTGGCTTTTCTAAATTTCTTAAAATACTTGACTTTAATAACAACTACATCAAAAACTATTAAAATATTTCAAGCATTTTAGACAAAAAGAAAGTAAGTAATCCGACACTGACCTGTTTCCTTGGTTTCTGGGTCCGAGTGGGTTCCACTAATTTATGATTTGTTTACCCTCTGGTTTACTCTTAACAATACCGCATTTAACTTAAAAGTAATAAAATTTTTAGTAGGTTTTAAGAAAACGATTTTACTATAAGCTTTCTTATTTACGCGTTCTTTTACTATGCTTTTTTTAATGGTAATTTAACAGAAACTACAGGGTGTTTACGGATTATATAACTACTAAAATAATTCGTTATGAGAAGTTAATTTGAAGACCAAACAGTTTCCGTATCCAAAAATATTTTGCATTTACTTACTCACCCCCCCCCCCCTCATGATTTTCACTTCTATGGTAAAAATATCAATGAAAATTGCATGACCCTATGGAAGAACCAATCTGACTTTAGTATTTAATATGATTACTATAGCAACACAAAAAATTTCCGGAAATTTTTTGACTCATTAGCGCAAATTAATAAGTGGAAATTTTTTTACAACAAAAACTAACCTCCAATTAAACAAAATTTTATTTTGAACATCAAAAGACTTATAATTGAACTCGTGATGTCATGAAATTTCTAGAAACAATCAACACACTCGGGGTATTGTAAGTGAAAATAATGTGTATTGAATGTTGACTGTCAAAGTTTTTATGCACGAAAAAGGGATAATTTTGTGCACAGAAAACTTATCAGGTGTTAACACGCGTCAATTTAGTAAGTTGTAAACGCGCTTTCGGGTGAATTGTGCAATGGCCAACACCGAATTGACTAGTGTACGGGCAAAAATTGCCTCAATGAATATAGATTATTACGTATAGGTAATTAAATTGTGATTATAATAAATCAAGCTTGCTCAAATTATCAAATTAGAAATTCATAAATTTATTTAGAAAATGTATTTTACAAGTATATAATATTAGTTATTAGTATTATTATGATGTTAAGTTTACAACTTTGTTTTTTTTTGGGCTTTGTTTAGGGGTAAACAAAAGTAAATATGTATAAAAAACGGAAGAAACTAGTTATTTATTAATAAAATTTAAAAGTAAATCACAAAAATACAATATTCTAATAATTAATGTAATAGTCTTCGTCGTCACTACATTCCTGTAATCTGTGTGGCATTGAATTAACTAAAGTTTGTTTGACATTTGTTTGACTTATTTGTCCTCAAACTTCAATTACATTATTTGTTAATTCATGAAGATTACGTGGTCGCATCCCGTTAATGTTGTCGTTCCATTCCCGAACCATTTTAGCCCATAGATTTTTAATAGGATTTAAATCTGACGATTTCGCCGGCCAATGAATAGTTTGTATTTGATGTTGGCAGTCGTGGAACTATTGCTGGACAATTTTTGCGGTGTGAACGCTGCTGTTGTTTTGCACAAGGATAGGCGGTTCATACCGAAACGAATTTTCTATTTCGGGGAGAAGGTGGTTTTCAAGGGTGTGCATTGAATCGAGGAAGCGTGACCTTGACCACAGCACCTGATGGTCGTCCTGAATGCATCCAGTCCCAAAATCTTGCAGAAATCCTTCCACTCCGCTTCACTGGCATCACATTATTTTTATGGTATCTCTGGTTGCTTCTTCGCCATAAAATAACTAGTGCATCTTGTGAGGTTTGAAATATTTTTTTGTCGGAGAAAATAACGTTGTTCCAGTCAATATTTAAATGTTCCTTGCAAAACTGAAGTCGAGCTGAACATGTTCAGGACTTATTTCGGCAAAAGTGAGAAATAGAAAAGTTATTTCTCTTAACGAGTTCTACTGTTAGTGTTTAGAATATTTGTTCGTAATTCGTGAACATCTTGTTTAAAAAAAACTTTGTACTCGAGAATTACAAGTAAGATACAAAATTGTACGAAATCAGAGATAAAAAAGGTCGAGCCTCCGATTTTTAACCTTTGGATTTTAAACATTCTTTACCCTGATAGCAGACATTATATCGAGCGATCAAGATAATTTGTAATCGAGTCATCTTTGTATCTGAGAACGTATTTCTAACTGCACGTGAAACGTCAAATAAAATGACAAGTCAAAAGGTAAAACGGCCCTTATTGGCGATGCAGACTTCACTTCTTCGTCGCATACGCTGTTGGTATGTATGTACTACAATAAACGGGCCTGTTCTCCATTAACGTCTGCTAAGCCATAACAGTACACTATGTCCGCGTATACGATGTTAGTGTAGAGCATTTTTCGTTTTATTAACACAAATTATTAATTACAAATTTGCACTGAAAACTGATTGCACTGGCGATTTTAACTCTGACTGAAAAGTCAACAAACGACAAAGCTACAAAAACGCCAAACGATAAGAGTTTTTATCCGTTTTTCTTTCGCAACCTTAAAAACCACTTGAAATGGAAAGTGAATATCCAGTGTCGTACTTAAATTTACTACCCAAATTTTGATCATAATTTTTTCGTTCACTATTGCCTTTTTCCAAAAAATAATATTTTTCTGTTAACGTACCCCTTACCCGTGGTTAAAATTACGAAAACTATATCAAAATCACTCTGTATAAAGTAAAATAAAGGATATTTGAAGAAAACTCCAACATTCTTTCTATTAACTGCATTAATTTTTTCATATTTAGTTTTTGTTTTGTAGCAGTTACAAATTAATTTCAGTTTTTTTGAAAGAAACTTGAAAGTGAATAAATAACTTTTTACATCAGTGTTAGACTCCGCGTAAATTAAATAACAATTGTTAAATTGTTAATAACAATTAACAAACAATTGAAATTTAACAAAAACGTGTTTTTTATGGAATGAATAATGGAAACGTCACAAGACGAGCCCCTTATGTTATCACTTATCACTTATCACAACAAGTGTTATGACAACAATAGAGTATTTTTATAAAATATTTTTGTTTTAATTGTTTTAAAATTTGCTATGGAACTGAGCACTTTTTGCTTAAATAAGAATAATAATAAAATGTATTCACGAGTATTCATATTTTTTTCTTTGACTTATAGGCACCTATAACATTGCCTTCAATGTATTGAATTCTTAGGATGGCCATTGTATATAAAGACTTGAAATAGTTGGAAAGCGATTGTGCAGAACTCTTCAACTCCGATTGTGTAAACAGAATTAGCACAATAATCAAAAATATTTTTCAAAGCTGCGATCAGAACGGAAAACAAAGTTTGGGAATCCATTTGTGAATAAATAGTAGTAGAAATACAACTTTTTACAAATAAAAGTAGTTAAAAAAATAACTACAGTGAAATCTTCCATAAACGGACACCGACGGTGACATGCTTTTTTTCCGGTTAATGGAGGTGTCCGCTTAAAAGAAATAAGTGTACATAAACACAAAACAAAAAAATATATATTAAAAAGGTAATAACATAGTATTTGATACAATAGTAAGGCTTATCAACTACTTTTTAACGAAAAGTAGTAGTTTACTTCTTAAAACAAGCAAATCTATAATTAAATCTTTATTATTCTGACTCAGTGGAAAGAAAAGTTCATTTTTCTCTTGATTTTGGACTTATTTTTTTGAATTATTTTTCTCAGCGTTTTAAATCCCATTACATTGGCGGTTTTACTTTTTTGATAACGATGGGACTTTGACAAATGCGTTTTCGCAAGTTAAATAACAAAAATGTTTGTGAAAAACATAATTTTAATAAATGGCAATTCTAAAAAACAACTTTAAGATAAAAAAATACAAAGTCGTTTTTAACAAGAACAATTAATTAATTAATTTTCACAGTGACATCGTTCTCAAAAAAATAAAATCTCCAATGTATAATGAGATTTGGAAAGCAGAGAAAAATCAAGTCCAACTTGTTCTTCCTACTGAATCAGAATATTTAATAAAGTTTTAGTTACAGATTTGCTCATTTCAGGTTAAGCAAAAAAATGTTATTCCTTTGAAGTTTTAGCGTAAAATTAAAGTAAACTCAATCATACTGTATAATAATGTTTATTGGGTAGTCTATTTCTTCGGTATTTCTTCGTTAACTTAATACAAGTAGTATTTATATGTAATACATAAAAACACAAAGATGGACAGAATTTCACCACTGCTGAAATTGGAATCTTAATATGCAGAACTCGCGCTCCAGAGAAAAATTTCAAGTAAAATAAGAAACCAGGAGCATGAAAAAAATGTTTAAAAAATTTTAACACAAATTTTTTGACATTTGATATTTTTTCATGTCTATTTAATGATACTGATGATCTTGTATATGTTTTTTTTTACAATTATTTAGTAAATGTACAAAAATTTTGCCATTGAAAGCCACAAATAACATTTCCATATTCCTAGTATCTTACCTTATGTGGCATTTTTCTCTGGGGCGCGAGTTCTGGCGCACCCTGTATTTGATTCCCGAATTTTCTGACTAAAAATTACATAGGCACGCATGACATGCTGACCATGCCGTCCGCTTAAAAGAGAGATTTTGTTTTCAACCTTCCGAATTGGGTGTCCGCGTCCGTTTACGAGAGAGTCCCTTCAACAGAGGGACAACGCCATTTAAAATACATCGGCAAAACAGGGCAAACAAAAATGTCCGTTTAACAGAGGGGTCCACTTATGGGAGGTGTCCGTTAAGAGAGATTTCATCCTATACAGTTTTATGAATAACAAAATAATTTTTTGTATTTACTAGTTTGCACTGCGCCCTCTCTTAAATAGTAGCCAAAGTTCTAGTTCATGCGTAATCAAAGTGTAATTAATGTCAGCAGTTTTTAGAAAACTTTTTTTTACAAAAATAACGTTTAGTTGATATTTTAGAATAACGACACTAGATGTCGAGGTATAGTATTTAGGAACAGGATTATGTATAAGTTATTCTCTAGTACTTGACTTTTCGTTCAGTTTGGTTTAGTCATCAAATTAATGTATTTTATTTTACGAAAATATATTTTTAAGTGAGTTTTTTATTTAACATTTTTTTTGTTTATAAGTATAGCATAGTTAGAATCAACACATTTTTCATTCATAAATTATAAGTCATCATTCATTCTTAAGTTAAATTATTGTTAAAAAATTCAAGAGGAACCACGGGAAACTTAATATGTCCTTGAATAATTGTTGAATGTCATTACACAAAAATACAGGTAAGTCATTGAATTGTTTTAATTTTTTTGAAAGTTACATAATTTAAGTCATAACAATAACTTTTAAAATCTAAACCGGTGACTAAAATTGTGCACTTCATACCAACACGTGTTTCTGACGTCACATTTGTCCTTAATTTTGACATTTGAGGTTAAGTTCACTTCGAACATCAACAAATGTTTTCATTTACTCATAGCCGTTTATAAATCTTCTTCAAATGCAGGAAGTCACTTCTGAGTTGTAAAATTTAAATAACCATACAATGTATTAGTCTGGGTTAAGGAGGTTATTTTTTAAAAAGTCATCAGAATACTAAGAAAGTAGGCTTCCTGCTTTCAAATTTACCGGCTGTAGATCTGAAAAATCGAATATATTGCGAAATATGAATTTTGTTTCACTTTCTTTATGAAGATTACATAATTTTGTGAATAAAGGCGACCCAGGACCTGGGGTTATATAATTTAAATTGTCGACCACATACTTTAACCTAAAATGGAAGCACATGGCGAATCCTGTCTGGACAAAAGACAAAACACTTTTTTTCTTTACAGCACCAAAATGGATTTTTTTTATGTAAGAAACTAAAATGAATAACTTTTCATTTTATCTACCCTTAATAAACAGTTCCAATATTGAAAAATAAAGAAAAAAACACATACAAAAATAAAACACTTTTTAATCCTATTTTTGAGCAACGAAAATTTTTGCATATCTTCACTAAATAATTTTAATTATTGCTTTTTTAAGAAGTCTATTTTATGAAAGTATCTATTTTCTGTTAACTTGTCTATTGTTTGTGTTTTATATTTTACCGTAAAAAATTCTCCAAGATTGAGTTTTCATTGCATTTTTGTTAAAAAATTGCTTTTTTTGGGATTTCATGTTAACTATGTGGTTAGGTTATTTGATTTGAGGAATGTTTCTTAGACAATCGGAATGTAAACACGCAATCTACTTGTTTAAATAGTTGAACGTTATGCTGTTTGGCTTATTATGAATAGGATTTTCGTATCGGTTCTTTAAATTGGTTAGTGCATTACGTGGCAGGTCGCTCACGATAATTATAAACTTGAACTAAAAACATAAGAGGAAAGATTTCTTTTAATTACGTTATATCACTTTCGTGACCTACTTGGAAGATTTATCTACAGAAAATAGCTGTAGGCGGATTAAAGGTTTTAAAGCGACTTAGACCTTTTTTTTTTTCATGGATAGAAACAACGAAATTCACTTAAAAAGAGAGAGACTATTTGATTTTGAATTATATTTGCTAGTGTCGCTTGCATGTTAAAAATGAAATTAAAAAGTGAAATCGTAACACTATCAATGTTGTACCAGGGAGGAATATAAAAAAGGATATGAAATTTTTTTATGCAATGATTTTTGTTGAATAATTTTCGTTCCGGAAAATGTCGATTCAGTTTCCCAATAGCGGACACGTGCATTTTATATAATGGCCACGAATTTAAGGATGGGCCTGTTACAAAATCGCTCAATTCCGCATAGTTTTATGTAATTGTTATTCCTTGTTGTCTGGTTTTGGCAGCTGATATTTTAGTATCATATCTTACGTTCCTAGACCATGCTGTCTATGTAACTAGTGAAATAATTAGGTAATCTGGCTATTAGTGTGGCCGTTAGATTACGACTTTAAAACCCGGAAACAACTATAGATGACTAAAGTTACATCTCGAGATAACACACACACACACACACATAATTTTTCTCGAATTTTTATTATAGTGCAATAGGAACACATTTTCTAATTTGCATATCAATCCGGGCATATAATTTCGAATGAATAGAATGACTAGTTATTGGTTGAATAAAAAAAAACTCAATGTTATTTTTAAAATGAACTGAGTTCATTGTCAAGACTGTTGAGCTTTCATTATCACTTCAGTTTATCTTAATGAATGTTCCTTCACACCCACTGATTACACTGATTTAATAATAATAATAATAATACTGATGGCTGAAATTTTTATCAGAATTATTACTTTTTATATAATTAATTGTTACATCTATCTTATTTAAGCGACTATTGAAGGAAAAGAGCGAATTACATAAAAACATTGCAATTCCTGGTACATAACTTGTGTCGAATGATACGTAACCGTCGATTAGAGTCGTTAGAAAAATAAAACAAACATTTTAATGATGTTATGGCAAACTTATTGCGATTATTCAGATTAAGACAATTTTCTACATAACCATTCATATGTTACATTTTAAACTGAGTTCGGTGGAAACTTTTGTCAGACGCATTTTTTCGCATAGCGTAATACCCGGATATTATGGGATTTAATGAAATAACATTACAGGAAACAAAATTTTTAACCCATATTCGACAGTATCAATCAATAGGCGTCAGGTGTCGATGAAAAAGGTGGGAGGAGCACAAATTTACGCTTGAAAATCTTTTTGGCAAGCAAAATTCGACCTAAATTTTAGTATGCCGTTGGACAATAAATATGTTAATGATTATTATTAAAATTATTGAAATTATTATTAAAATGTTTCTGTATTTGAATTATTTTGTTAGCAACTTTTCGATTTTTTAAAATAAATGTGGTTTTTCGAAAAGTTAATTAAGCAATCGATTTTAATTGCAATTATACAAAACAGTAATGATCTGCTTTATTCAAGTGAACTGGAAAACACAACTTTCTTTGATGATGAGGCTGTTGTCTTAGTCATTTTTGAAATGATCCAACTAAGAGACATGGGTTTTCCCTACGTAATTTGTTTAATTTCCAAGACATTAGAGAGAGCACTTACAGTGCTTTCGTGAGAATTGCTCGAAAATGCATCAACGGTTTATTTCTAAGAAAACAAATTATTAAAAAGTTTGTAAAAGTGTCATTTGCTATTGCTGTAGAATCTTGAGTTTATTCCTAGATAAAGATGACAATGCAATATGTACAATTTTTTAACATAAATTACAATAACATTTTTGCGGTCACAATTCCTGTGAAAAATTATTTATTTAGAAAATACACACGCTAGTTTCTTCGAATTTTGCTACAAAAATATTGTTTTAATTTTGGAACTTGACTTGGTATTTTAGTTTATTTTTAAGTTTATTGTAATAACAAACTTCTCTTTTCTGAAAATTTTGTCTTTTAACAGCAATTGCGTTTTTGAATTTATAATTAGAAAAAAAACTGTGGTTCATTTCGATGTTTCAGAATTTTGCAAGTAATCCGTTTTATAGATAATAAAATGCACTTGGCTTGCACATCTTCATGTAGAAAAATCGAAATAATTAATTTTTGACTCATGGAATCGGCAACAATAGTATATTACTTCGTTTACTAGTTACTTTTGCTTCATGTTTTTTAGCAATAAAAAATATTTGAAGTGAAATAAAAAACAATGTTAATTTAATTAAATAGTACGTAAAATGTTTATGACTGTCGAACTGAAAAAATTATGAACATACAATAAGACTCGAATTTCTCTTTCTTACAAATTTCTTTTGGTTGTTTATTCGATATTTCAACATGAACAAAATTTATAAATTTCGAATGAATTTATTGCTCACAGCTTATGAAATGTTTTTTAGAAGCTTGTTTTTGTTTTTAACCGGTTTATTGTTTTTTTGTTTATAAATATATTATTGGTGGGATTTTAAATTGACGGTAATTCAATAAAGTGGCTATAGTGTTAATACAGGTGGTGTAAACCACTGGTTTATAACGTAATTTACGTTATGATTTAATAAATTATTGCATTACAACACATTAATAATTATTTTAAAGCTACTGAATTTTTTTTATAGCCCAAATGGTCACAAATAACTTTCAACTAAATTATAATTAGATATCAAATGTTGGTAGTTAATAATTTTATTTTTAAAGAAAATCGTCGGTCATGCTAGGTGAACCGAGAGAATTTTGTTGCTGTTTGCAAATTTTCAAACAATATAGATCAGCTATTTCGTAAATAGCAGTAAAATAACAAAATCAGTGAAAAAAATGTTGGTGGTCATTCTGTCGGATAATTGTCATATCTCGACTCACCCTAACTCAAGTTATATAAATTATGTCACGGAGGGTCAGTTTTGCTTTATTTCCGTCGGAAGCAAGCTCGATGATATCAAATGTAACTGATTTGAGTTATTGTTTTAACTTAAAATTATATGTTATTATTATCTGAATTTTATTTGATTTATTTACGTTCTTTGTAAAATGCCCTAATTTTTTGTTTAAGTTAGCTTGATTAATATATAAATTTAGCTTTGTCAGATTCTTTTTTCTGCATCATTAAAGAAATGACTAATTATTCTATGAATGAAATTACGTTATTGTAGTTATTTAACATTCACATCTCGTTCATTTCTGACAAGTTCAAAAATGGAGTCACATCGACTGTTAAATATGTTAACTGTGTGGACATCTGGTAAGAGCAATATTAAGACATTTTTCTTGGCAGAGCAAGTTTTTCCTGTGGAAATAGAAAATCGATTTTGTATCACTGTCAGTTGAACATAAAATGTTATGTTATTATGGAAATTTTTTTGCAAAAACTTACGTGACACTATATTGTTTTTACTCTTAAGTTATTCAAATTTCTCTTAAGCTATAAAATAAAAGCACAACTCATGCTTCGTTTTAGTACTATTAAAAAAATACAAACTTTTTAAAATCAATTTTACCCATTTCTGGGACACTATTATATGTATATTCTCGCAACGTAAAATATTGAAATGAGACTTGAGCAACAGTTTACAGCAGTAGTTCAAGGTAAAAAACTTTAGCTAATCACTGGCACCGTATTTGAGTTTTGGAATTCACTGATATTTCTTGCTTTTGTCCTAATATTTCCAACTGCTGTAGCAAAAAGCCCACACGTGTGTTATATCCAAACTAACACAGCGGGGGTGTGAATGGTGTAATGATTTTAGCCACAATGTACCAGAACCGAGGCCGGAAGTTCCCAGTATGGCTCCTCTTATCGTAAACACAACGACTACATTGATGAAGTACCAAACGAA